ACATTATACCATGCACTGACTACATTGAATCGCCATATTTCCTATACCATATTTGATCCCCGCACCATTCATTTGGTGCAATAATAATATAGCAATAGTCGCCCCCAAACACTCACCGTTTTGTATCCCTCCCTCTGTTCGTTTTGTTTAGAATCGTCCAATCGGACCAGACATCACATCCACATTGCTATGGTATCTGCATGAACGCAGGCGTGTCTTCCTGCATCACATGTCACCTCGAACCGGTTCTCCTGCCCTGGGTCGTTTAAGTCGGCGCGTTGTGCACGCTTTTGAGCTGACCGAACATTTGCCCATGCGACTGTTTGCCCTTTCACATTATTTCTCCCCATCTTCGGCAGAAGGTCCCTCTTCGAACGCTAGCCATTTGGCTCTGGTCGGATCATCAGATATACCGTCTACCCCATTGAACGCAACTCATAACAATTATGATCAGCCAGCACACTCAGCAAATCAGCACTCTCTTGTGGCCTCTCTTCCACTTGGCCTCATACGTGCAGCACAAGCCAATTCATCCAGCTCAGCCGGTAATGATAATAATAGTAGTGGTGTGTCAAAAGCTCCTACTGAGACGCAACAGTTTGCCGACTGTTTGGATGCGACTGAATTGCGTGCTCTTTTCACTTTCTGTCCCTCTTTGGTTTGCCGTTCGGATGAGGAGTATGTGGTGCCCGGTATGCATCAGATTGACTCACGAATCGCAGTCGAGTTGATCCGGTTAGATGACACATCGACAGAAGCGACTGAGAATTCGACAAACCCGCCCGATCCACCGGTGTTGAAAGACTGGAGCAATTGCACAGTGCAAGTCAATCCGATGGTCACCGCAGGTCAATTGGAACGTTTTCTAATCCAGATGTCTACCAGACAGTGGTGAGTTTGAAAACGTTGTACTGATTTGTATCTTGGTTAAGTGGTAAAATACTGCGTAGGCTCGTATTCTGTGTTCAATCTTGACCATTCTGGTCAATATTGGTGTTGGCACATGGAATAAATAACCAAAACGGTCCAGAGATATTCAAATAGCAATACAGTAATGGATTGGGTGGTCGCGCTCATGACTGGTATACTCGCAGCTGATAACATTCGAGAGATCTATCAAGAGAATCAACTTTTATAGTGGCCATGTAAAATGAGAATGTTAGTCCTTGCATAAGCTTTCTTAGCCGGAGTAATTAGATATTTAGATATTGAAAATTGGACTGCGTACATAGTGTTTTCAATAGGTCATCTATCATGCAACGTGGATTGTCTTTTTCCCCATCAGACAATGACCTGGTGTATGGGCATGAAAAATAAGGATTCAGCATTGGCTTCGGTGGGTACAGCTCGCGTTTTAGGCTGTAACCCAACATGCGAGGATTGCCATAGGCTAGAGACGTTGAGCGATGTGTCTCATTAAAGAAGTCAGTAGTGCAAATGTACGACCTCTTTGTTGAAATCCCATGCCCCATCAAGGGCAAAAAAACATCCAAAGTGTCCGGTGAAACTGGTCAAAAAATTATGCTTCTTTTTCTTGTAATCTGTCATCCGTTTCTCATTTTCCTTATCTTTACCCAAATCACCCTTCCTATTATCGTTGCTGTTGCGTTGAAAACAGTTGTTCTCTAATCAGTGTGAAATATTTATTACTTTTTTGTGCTTTGGAGTTCACGATCACCTTCCCCTATTCCCTGTCCAGACCATATTAAAAAGCTAGTCTGATTTCAACTGTGACTTAAATTCCTCTTGTTCCCTCCCCTTGATTTCTTTTATTTTCTCCCACCATCTGCACAGGTACAATAAACCGCGTACTGAGCTGGCTTATTGGGACCAACTGGTCAAAGCTACCAAAGATAATGGCCCTGGGATCACATTTACACCACCAGTGAATGGGATCAGTTCTATTGACTCCGTCGGTGGGGTAATTGACTGGTTGGCTACAGACGGAAACACGCGTCCTATCGAACAGTGGGCGAATCCAGCCTTGATAGGTTTGGTTACTGTGGCCGCTTCTGTGAGTAATCTGATCATGGGAACTGCATCTTCAGTCCTGGGTCCTCGCTCGGGCACATTGGTCGGAGGCTATCCAGTCCGATGTGCTGGGGTCGGTGGGGTGACACGGCCGGCTCGAGTAAGCGATGTGAATGGTCCAGTTGCTGTACGGACGGGCTGTGGCAAATCGAAATTCGGCATCCATTCCGGTAAATCAAACAGCATCCCGGAAGAAACCCATGCCTGGTTTGCAGTGGATTTAGGCCTCCAACTGATCCCGACCGCTTATAGCATGGCCTATTTACGAGAAGCCGAGGATTTCAACGTCCCGATAGCACCACGAAATTGGAATTTAGAAGTGAGTGACTCCTACTAACATTTACTTCACACGGACTCAAAAGAGAGATGAAACTTCATAATTACAGTCAATCACGTGCTATGTCGCACCCCTGAGAAGTCGCATTTTCCAACTTCCCACTTCTTCGAAAACCCAAATCGACCGTATGCCTGATAACGTAGTGTCTGACTATGCGATGTCGCACCCCTCAATATGTCACAGTTCCTGATACGAACTCACTTGGTCGTTGATCGATGCTCGGGACGACTATTGGTCATCCACCCTGAAATAGCGCGCTCAATCAATGGCGTTGCACCTAGTGTGATGCGTTCATGGCACTGTTCACTAATTGGATAATCCTTGCGAGGAAGTCACACCGATGTCCGTGATCGGAAACAGTGTCATTTGACGTCAAAATGTGCAAGCGCCTATCGATCAGAGAGGAGCAGAATTCGTTGGAAATGCTGAAACAGCCAGGTGCAACTCACAGCCCCGTAGCCAAATCACTTGGAATTTCACGAAAAACGGTCTATAGTGTTGTATCTCATGGAACGACTATCGGGGAATTTTCGAACGCTTGAGCATCTGAAGAAAGATGCCACCTGAAAACCAACGAAAATTTCAAAGCAGTGAATGAGGCAGCTTTGGTTTGGTTTACTGCTGTAAGGGAAAAGCACGGAGAGTTCCCAATGGTGGAGAGCGTCGTACGTAAGATGAGCAACTTATCATGAAAGCCGAGGTGGTATTTTTTGCAATTCTATGGGGCACTGCACTCGAATGTGGTCAGTTTTGTCACAGTGGTCACCAAATCCACGGTCATTCGGTCTATCGATGGACTCTGTCGCACTAAAGTGAACGCCCTAACGGGTGAACGATAATTGCGATGATCTGGTAANATCTGGTAAGCGGGTGAGTGGAGTGAGATGTCAGATCCGAGCAATCGATAACCACCGTCGCGCGGATATCCCTATGTGAATGAATGAGCGATACTCTCACTTGTCCTAGAGCACCTATGAAATTAGACAGGTCATCGTAACCCGGATCTACAGTGCGATTGCTCCATTGTTTACCATCGTTTCATCCCTCTCACCCGTGACCTTAAACAAGTAAATTCCCTCTGACCCTTTCTGTGGTCTGATTGAATCATATTCCGCGATCTGCGGCGCTTAAAATCCCTCACCTCAACACGAGACTGTCTGATTACCGGCTTGTACGTTTTGTAATGCTCTTGTTTTTACGTCCAGTCTGTCTGTGTAAACGCAGCTTGTGGGATGCTCTTTCAGTTTACGGATCGTTAATCGATTGAGAGTTGCCGTAATTTCTGTGGGCTGACGTCTATGACTAAACAGCAGTGAATTTCTTTCAAGTAAACTCCCGTCTCATGCCTGCCGGAAAATTTGCGCGAAAACCCGCTTAAAAAATAGTGCGTTTATCTTAGACGAGTCAAACATTGGCCCAGTGTTATCACTGCTTGAACGTTTTCATTCCGAATCTCCCACATGGCGCATCGTTCCACAATTGATTCTCCTGTGGTGATTCGCTACCGACACTTAAGCAGCATCGGATTCAGAGCTTATCCTCCTCCTATGCCGCCCCGAAAATCACACGACCGATCGGGTTTATTTATCGATCGGTCGGATAGATCATCGCAACAAGAGAGCTGGCGCTTGTCCACTTAACCCGTACGAGAAGCCACACCTTGTATACAATCGCGAGTCTTTAGTAGATCCCGTGAACTTCGGCTGTATAGCAGGCGTGCCCTTCACCAAACGAATGGACTGCACTTGACAACAAGATCATCACAAGACAATGTTAAACGATGGCGTAATCGGACTATCGTATTATCCACATAGCAACATGACATTTTAAACTGATACTCAGGCATCTTAAATTGAAAAAGGTATCGTTTATGAATCACGTTATGGCATCGCGTGTTGAACTTAGTCCGACCAGCAACGGCCATAATAAGTGGATCAATCGGTTTCGATAAGCGGTGTCAACAACAAAGTGAACGAACGAATAGATGTCTACAGACGCTAATGGTACACATTTTTCACTAGAAAATCATGAATAAATTGCACAGCGAACAATCAGTTTGAACATGTGAAAGAAGTCAATATTTTGAGTATACCCCGTAACGGATATTTCACTCAGCTTAGATGTTATTTCCTTCTCGCTGTAATCGAACTGGTTCACTTTTGTTTTCCTTGAATTTGTCGGTAATGATGGGATTATTATAGCTAGAAAAGTTGTATATTATGGTGGACGTCATATAATCAATTCTGCTTTTAGGCAAACATTACAACGGAATGAAGGAATATCTGGAATTAATATGGAATAATTGGGTCAGACGAAGTTCCCCTGAAGAAAGATGGGTAGTTTCAAGATAACTAGACGCATAGAACTGAAAAAGGGCTGAATACCGTACGGAATGTACCGATATTGAGCTGAGGGCGTCATTAAAGATTTAAATTTCGATACACGAAGGATACGCAAGACGGTAGATCTAAATTCCGTTATAAATAAACAGTTTATAATTATAAACATCGGGAACAACTAACGGGATTAACCTACTTTTCATCGATCCGGTTTATTTTGTCACTAAACTATCAACCAATTTTTATACTATTACTACTGTTTACTCTGCTGTCGCAGTTCCTGTAATTTACCAATTTTCCATAATCCTTGAGGGGTGCGACATAGCAGGAGATTGACTGTAATTGTTCCCTTGATCTCCATGCAGGTCGATGTCCCTGTTAATAATGTTGAACGCCGAAAACGAGATTCTGTGATTTTTTTCAAATCAAATTTTTTTCTTTTGTTTCTGCCTACTTACAATACTCAGTCGTGTGTTTCATTGATAGTATACTGACGGAAGCTGCTGGAAAGCGGTCCCCGATTTGGAAGCACTAGTTTGAATAGAGAAACCGAGAACAAGAGGTTTGCACAATATATCCTGCACCATTTCGCGGTGTCTGCACATGTTCATA